GTACCTGTGAGAAAGGGCACCACTACCACCACTCTTGTTAAAATCCCCAACTGGAACTACCTACATTTTCATCAACATGTAAATAAATAAATGCAGGTACATCCATCCAACAGGATACAATATAGCAATGAATATAGCAATACAATGTAACAATATAGAAATTAGCAAACTGAAGCAACACACAGCAGCATGGGTGAATCACACAAGCATCAAGCTGAATAAAAGGAGCAAGTCACAAAAGCACGCATGCAGTATGATTCTATTTATGTAACATTCAAAACCAAGCAAAATTAAACCATATTGTTAAGGGAAGTGTCCATATGGGTAAATTCAGAAAGAGAAGCATGTAAAATTACGATCACAGAAGTCAGAATAGCTGTTTCCTTGGGGAAGAGGAGGAGGGGCCAGGGGGTTCAGTCTGGGAGGGGCTTGGGGAGAATGGCTTATGGGGGAGCTGGCATCCCTGTTTCTTGCCTTGAGTGGAAGTTACACTTGTGTTCACTTTACAGGTATTCTTTAATCTGTACATGTATGTTTGACATACTCTTCTGGATATATATCTCACGACTGAAAAAAAAAAAAAAGGCATCTGAAATCAACAGGGAGCTACCCCAAATTAAAATAATAGCCTCAGAGGTCCACCTCCTTAATTTTATAAATGATAAGACCGAATTCCAGAGAGGTTACTGTTGTTGTTAGTTGCTATCAAGTTGATTCCGACTCATAGAGACCCCATGTGTGCAGAGTAGAACTGTACTCCATAGGGTGTTCAAGGCTGTGACCTTTCAAAGCAGATCCACAGGTCTTACTTCCCAGGTGCCTCTGGGTAAGTTTGAACCGCCAACATTTCAGTTAGTAGTCTAGCGCTTAACTGTTTGCACCAACCAGGGACTCCTAGAGAGATTGTTACAAGGCTTGCTCAAGTCACATAGAGCCTGGCCGAACAATTCCTAACTCAGTGTCCCTCCCTCCTGCCACCTGCCATCTTTTAACAGGGCCTCTTTAAGAGGAGGGGAATGGTGGGCGGGGCACAGCTTTTAAGCTTGGGAGTTCCCTTTTTTGTGAAAAAAAGGAGGGGGCAGTTAGTGAGCTGATAAAGAGCTGGTATGAACTCTGAGATTGCAAACACTTCAAATGAATTTAAAAAAATTAAACATGCCCCCCCACCAAAGTTGCATTATAATAATGATAACATTATAAACAATAAATACCAGAAATCTCTGGGCACTCTGAGATCTAGAGTTGGACTCATAATCCCTCTGATTTGCAGATGGTATCAGGAAGGAGCTGGCTTGAAGTGGGGCTGGGACCGGGAAAGGAGGGACAGGGAGCCAGGAAGTCTGCAATTTTATTGACTTATCTACCTGGCCTAGGTGAGACCCCTAACCCTGGGACGGTCAGGAAAGGAACCTCCTCTATCTCTCTGAGAGCTTTTTGTTTTGTTTAGAGGTCAATTACTTCCCATTTGAGGAACTTGTGAACATTAAGAGGTGACTGGAGTGACGGGACTGAAGGATGCAGATAAGAGCCTTGATTGCTTACAGAAAGCTCCTTGGTGAAAGCCCTGCCTTGGATAAGCAGTTGTCGGTAGGAGACACACAAAAAGGGGCTGCTTTTGGTGGAAAGGAGATTACAGAGACAGAAAATGGGCTGCCTGGGGTGAGCTTGAGGAGCGGGAGAGGGATGCATTTTAAAGTGATCCCAGCGGATTGGGGAGATGGGAGAAAGAGTTTTCCTTTGCTCTCCTTTCCTTTTGGAACGAAACTGTTGGCGTCCTGTGAACCTCAAACTTCTGTGCTGTGGTCTGGAGAGAAAAGGCACGTGCACTGCATATGGACAAAGTTTTTGTTAGAGAGATATATTTTTTTAGACCAGCAAAAGTGCACGCTGGAGTAATCTGGGCACACAACAGAAAATGCTGCAGGTCAATGAAACATCTAAAGGATCTTAGGTGTATACTTAAGCAGCCCTCCTCCCCCTCCCCCATCCCCTGCCTCTCATACCCCTTCAACCAACTGAATGCAGTCTTACAATTTGCAGAAGCTAGCTTTAAATTGTATCTCAAACTGCTATAAAATACAACTCTGGGTTTGGGATGTGCCCATTTCCTTTTCTTCAATCCAAAGTCCTAGGACCTCTCTCGGTAAATAGTGTTATTCCCACGCTAATCACCAGGCTTAACCCACCTCCTCTGTGCAGCCTTCTCTAAGCACCCCTGCTTGCACTGGATTTTCTTTCTCTCTGGAGAGAACTCCCTCTCTGTCCTCTTGTTTGACACACAGCACACATCACATTGTATTTTTAGATACCTTTCTTATGCTAGTCTTTGCTATCCAATTAGATAAATTCTTTAAGGCTGGCAGCCAAATCCGAGTTTTCTCTTGTGTCCCTCCCAGGAGAGATCGGTGACGGCTGATTTACTGGTGATTGATCTAAGCCTCCTTCCCCTCTTCATTCTAAGCAACTTCTTTTCTCCTTGCCTTTCCATGTGATACACAAAGGTGTGGAGGGTGGAGTGGGAGTCTTTTAATTGCATAATTCACAGATGCAAGGCCAGTTCTGAACAGCACATGTCTGTAAATGCTTCTTCTGTTACGTTTCTGTTAGAAGGGAGCGAGAGGGTGAAGGAAATAACATTTATTAATTTCCACGATACCACGATGACTTACATTTTCCAAGGTGGGACCTTACACAAAAGACAACAAAGGATTTTTAAACATTCACATATGTATTTTAGACTCTGATTTTAGAAATAATCTAACCACTTAGATTGTTACTCAGTGGAAGCAGTGGGACTTAAACTCAGCTGTCATAAATATAAGACCAGTGTTCATAGAGTAATTTTTCTTCTTGTCAGGAATAAACTCCAAAGTGAAAGAAGAATAATCATGGTATATAACAATTTTCTCATGAGGGAAAGTTTAATTTTAATCTCTAGTTCATCTCAGCTTAACTGACCAAGGAATATTTGAGATTTCCAAATATCTGTACTGCATTTTTTTTTTAAAACCCAGGTATCAACACTAAGTATAATTTAAAGACAGTGGGGTTGTTTCTAAATATACTTTTATTGCAGTGAAAATGGAGAAATAAAAGACAGAATAGATGAAATCAAAAAAGAGAAAAAATGCAAGGAAATAGTAGTGAGAAAAATATAAACATTTACTCTTGGTTTTTAGCTTAAACATAGAAGGTTTAAAACATTTAAACTATAGTAAGTTATAGTTTACATAGAATCAAGTAGTCTCTGCTTTCCCACTTCAGTAAAAACAACCAGGGCATATTCAGCACTGAGACACTGCAGGGGCAGTGCATTTTCATTAAATATTAGAATTCAACTTTTGACAAATCAGTGGTCCAGGGGATGAAGTACCAGAGTTTTCACTGCCTAAAAAGATAATCCGGTGGGGGGGGGGGATGATTTTCCCATTATGACATGTGCCAAAGGCAAATTTCCTATGTGAGTTTATGCTTCCATTAACAGAATGAGTTTGTTTTCAGTGTTCAACTTGCATAATTTCAAATATATTCGGAGGGGTCAGAAGTTTCCCCTAAAGTTCGGGCTTCCTAGCCATCATTTAAGGATGGCCATACTCGGACATGTGGAGGTGTCCTCCCATGTCATCTGCTTTCCTGATACAGAATTTAGAAACTGATTATGTTTTGAAAGAAAACCTAAAAAGACGGAAAGGGAGGTATGAGAAAAGAAATGACGTAATCTACCTGTCTCCCCCCGCCCACCCATCTGTCAGTTTGTCCTATTGTGATGGCTTACTTGTTTCTGTGTTGCTGGAAACTATGCCTTGGGTATTTTAAATGCCAGCACAGTCATCAACAGCAGACAAGTTCCAGTGAAACTTCCAGACTAAGGCAGACTAGGAAGAAAGGCCTGGTGATCTACTTTCAAAAAATTAGCCAGTGGAAACCTTATGGATCACAACAGAGTACTGCTGTTCAGTACAGCGCTGGAAGACGAGCTCCCTAGGTTGGAAGGCACTACACAGTAGCCACAGCAATGGACTCAAACATACCAATGATGGAGACCGCACGGGACCAGGCAGTCTTCCATTCTGCTATACGAAGGTCGCCGTGAGTTGGAGCCAACTGGGAGACAGCTAACAACAAAAAACTACCTTCAGAGCAGAACTAGTTTTGTCTCCTTAGGAAATCCTGCATTGCAGGCTCAGAACTTCTGGGCTTTATTTTTACTTTAATTCAAAGTTGTTTCCAAACAACCAAAACAAGTATAGGTTAACACACACGCAGACTCACACGCACAAACACACACATACAAATACATGTAGTATATTTACTCGGGACGCCGTATTGTAGACAAGAGATAAAATGCAAGTGACAGTGAAGGGACAGGCAGAATATAGAGGAAACTCCTGGAGAGCAATCTTTTGGCTCCCCAAAAGAGCGAGCCACTGGATTATTACTGAGTCCCCATGAGCGCTGCTTTTGAAGGAATTTGTAGACCCCACTGAAGGGCGTGCTTCTCCGCAATGGTCCCTCTGTGTGAACCTGCCGGATTTTCCTCTTTCCTGCTCTTCATCCGCCTTCCCTTACTCCTCTCTTCTTCTCATTTTTCCCTCATCGTTCACAGGAAGTTAGGCCCTCTCCACCACTCCTCCAGCCTAGTGCCCCGCGGTGCTGCACACAAATGAAAAAACCTCTCAAGTCTTGTGCTGAGGCCTGAAAAGCACCTGTCTCAGTCCTGCTCCGATACCTCTCGGTAAACTTGGTTTTCGTCCCTCCGGTGCTGCCAAGGGCCGCGTTACTTCTCGCAGGGGCAGAATTTTTCCAGGGTCTTCAGGGGGGTCGTTGGTCGGGGAGTGAAGGGACAATTTGCAGTTCCAAAGATCGTTTTTCTGGGGGGGGGGGGGTTGAAGCGCCGTCCGGTCTCCGCTTAGCCCCTCACCCCGGCCGGCGGCGGCCTGCAGGCTGAGGAGCGGGGATGGGGGTACCTGGCCCGGTGGGCATGGCCCAACGGAGTCGCCTCACCACGCCCTGACGCCCTGCAGCGTGGCAGGCAGATGGCCCTCCGGGCTTCCGCCAGGGCCTCCGCCGCCGATGCCCCCGCGGGCCAGAGGTGCGGACGGCGCGGGGCCTGGGGGCCCAGCCGCGTAGCCACCGCGGTAGCCCGCACCGTAGGGGGCGCCGGCGTAGCCTCCGTAGCTGGAATAGGGCGCCGCGGCGGGGCCATAGGGGCTCGGGAAGGCCGGCGCGCCGGGTCCCAGGCAGGGCTTGCCGTCCCGCACCAGCACGGGCACCGCCACCCGCCGCGGCGCGAGGGGGTGGCCCGCCAGTTCCAGGGACTTGTCCTGGCGCTGCCGCTTGCACTTGTAGCGCCGGTTCTGGAACCAGATCTTGACCTGCGTGGATGTGAGCTGCAGCGCGCTGGCCAGGTGCTCGCGCTCGGGCGCCGACAGGTACCGCTGCTGCTTGAAGCGCCGCTCCAGCTCCAGCACCTGCATCTGCGAGAAGAGCACGCGCGGCTTCCGCCGCGGCCGCGCCCTGGGCCGCTCCGCGCCGCCACCGCCGGTGCCCACGCCGCGCTCGGGCACCCTGGGCCCGCCGCCGCGGGACGAGGCCGCGCTCAGGCCGGGCTCTAAAAGCACAGGAGGGAACACCATCAGCACCCAGCCTAAGGCTCGCCTGAGAATTTTTACAGTGCTTTCAAGAGTTCCCCTTCCCGGAAGTCATTGTTTAGGAAGCAGCGTGTTTCTGTTGGTGGTGATGGAAAAAGTATTGGTGATGGTCGCACAACATGAGTAATGTAACTGATATCACTCAATTGTACACGTGACAAACACTGAATGGGCAAATGTTGTGAGATATATATAACAATAAAAATAATATTCATATCGTAAGCGCCTCATCAGGGAGCGTTACCATTAGGGATGTGGTGGGGTAGATACATGGAGTGTATCTATTCATCCACCTATCAAGAAGGTAGAATAAAAATTACTTAACTGACTTTTCTGGAAGAATGTATTTCCGTTGAGTGTTGGATTTATTGCAAAAACAAAAGAATGAGAACAATGATGTGCGATGTTGAGATATAATAAATAAAATGAAACAGTAACAAACAAAAAGGAGAGACCTACCTTCCTTGATAGCCTTCATTCCGAGACCCCTTTTCGCCCTCTTTCTCCTCCTGCTGCCCTCCGCGGGCCTCCCCCCAGGCCAGCCTGAATGTCCCTTCCCCCCAAGCTCAGTGGTTTTTGTAGCTTTGGGAATATATGTAAATTGTGACACTCTATGGTCCCCAGTGTACACACCATTTCCCAAAAGATAGGCTATCAAGAATTTAAGGCGGCTGCATTTTCTTGTTAGAATATATATGACGCATATGGGTGGGAGGCCAGTTCACTGAGATCTCAATTCTAAAGCGTGGCTGAGTTTGGGAAAGCTTTTGCTGCGAGGATCAAGTGTTTGTTTGGGCTGTATCTAACAGGAACTAACTTAGGACCGTTCTTGGAGAAGAGGGATGGGGGTGGGGGGAGAGAGAGAGAGACTCTCTCTCCAGATCCATCTGCCACCGTGTTTGTCCAGAGAAGGCCAAAGCTCGGTGAAGTGCTCACCAGGAGACTTCTTTTCGCCTCAGCATCATTGGTCAAAGTCCCCACGTGCATTCGACGTTAATCGGCCAGTAACAGGAGTCTTGAGTGTGTCCCCCATCTTTACTCTCCTCTTTGCACACGTCCTTGTCTTTTGAGCCATCAAGTGTTCCACTGGCCCCAGAGACCCATCCTATCTTTCTTGGCGGAGACGCTCTGTAATTCAAATTAACAAAATAAAACAAAAGAATATTTCTTGACTCTTGGCTCGGAAACAGAAACGGATGTTCTCTTTAAGGGGTATAAGAAACTGAGATCCACATTTAACTTTTTAAACAATGGCTTCTTCCCTTGGGGTTTCCCGGTGAGGTCGGTGGCTTCTGCTTAGTCCCTCATGTCCTCTTTCCCCAGAGGGAGCGCCCTTGCTGGGCACGCGGAGGCAGTTCCAAACTGAACCAGTTAAAACAGGGTCCGAGACACCGACTGCTGACCCTGTTCCTCAAGCCCGCCAAGATGCAGCTGTTTCTTTCCTTCTCTCCACCTCTTGCCTGTCTTGGCTTACGATCTGTTTTAAACCAAGGATGGCAAGAAAGGAAACGTTGATTTTTTAAAATGAAAACTCATGCCGGGAGAAAACCAGAAGCTTGGAGGGGCTGCAAGCTCGTGGTGAGGCGGGGCAGGGCATGCCTGAGCTGCCTCAACTAATTAGAGCTTGTGCCGGTTGGAACCCGACTCCAAATCCCCAGCTGCACTGGCACAGTCTCCCGGGGAACAAGGCCTTTGGTATTTGACGTTTGAGGAGGGAACAACTTGCTTTAGAGACGCCTGCGCTCAGTGTCTGGGTCAGAGAAATCGAAGACTACTTCCCTGGCAAAGAGCGAAAATATTGAGGAAGCTTCGTTTTCTTAGCAAATCAGAAGATAACAGCTGACCTTCAGCGATGCTGTGGAGCAAGCAGCACCCCATTTAAAAGTCGCTGAAGACGCAGGCCGAGTGACAGAGATTAACCTCGCTCCTATTCCGGCCCCGCGCCCACCCTGGTATACAATCCTGAGCCTCTCCCGCTCCGCGCGTCTGAAGTCGGGGTGGACAGATGGGGTGCCCAGGCCACCGGGTGAAGCGCGCCTTGGCCCGCCAGCTTGGCTCCTGGAGCTCGGCTCGGGTCCCTTCTCGGCGTCCACGATAGCCGCAGATGAGATGTCACTCGGGATCGCCAGCAAGGGAGGAAAGTGTGGCTGGAGCCTTCGGCTGCGAGGTGACAGAAGTAGTACGATGAGCGCGATCCTTTCTCAGCAAAGCCGAAGTGAAAAGCAACGTCAAGGGAGTTTAGCATCCGCTGCAGACAATACACCAGCTTCTTTGCGAACATAGCAAAGGTTCTTTGCTCTCCAGGCTCTTGCCAAACCAGCCTGTAAGTCGGCGAACAACTTCGCATCAACCTCTTGACTTATTTGGTTGATTTATTTATTTTGTTTGCTCTTTGAATACAGGGACCGTGGCGCAGACTGGCAGAGAAGACTAGCCCTGCCAGGCGCTCACGTCTCTCGGGGTCCCCCAGACCTGGTCGGAGACGGTGGACCCAGGCTCAGGAGTTCCGCGAGAGGAAGGGTGGCTTTCTCATCCTTGGGAATGCGGAGTCTTCCTGCCGAAGTCTCCTGGGTCTCAGGAGCCGATCCAACTGAACTCCTGGCCCTCCTCTTCCCTTCCAAAGGGATGGACGCAGGTGCAGGGGCTCGCCGTTGTGTCCTCGGTGGCCAGGCGCCGGGACTCGGCCATCTCCCAGGGCAGCTAAAACCCGAGCTGCCTTAACATGCTCCCAGATGCGAAAACCTACCGCCAGCGCCCGCTGGGCCTTCCACTCCGAGGGACTCAGACACCACCTAGTTCCCACCTCTCGTCTCCCTCGAGAGGAGGAACTCCAGCAGAGGAATGGCGGGGCTGGCGCAGGCCATTCAGCAAAACCCAAGAAAGGGCCGGGCGGGGATTGACACCCAGAGCCGACTGAGTTTCCACTTCCAGGCTCGGCGGCTTCGAAGGCTACATCTTTTTCGCAGACGGTTTAGGGTACAGAGAAACTTGGAGATGATAGGTAAGGGGCTCTCGCGTGTGTGTGTGGGGGGGGCACAGCTGAGATACTTAGGGGGTTTTGCTGTGGCAAGGAGAAGCTGGAGGTTCTGGGAACTGTGGCCGTGAGCGGAGGCGATGAGTTTTTGTAGGAATCAGAAGGCAGGCCGCCAAACAGTGAGGTCCTAAGAGTCAGCGCCTTTCGTTAGGGGCGAGAAGCAACCTGGGTATCTAGGTGGATGGTGGTGGGGCCTGAGAGATCTGCCTTTTGAACTCTTCAACTGAGGGTAATCGGTGAGCGGCCCTCGGAGCCCAGGAAACTAAGAGCTGCCCCCCGCCCCGTACAAATCGGTAGTGACCTCCCTCCGTAATACCCCGGTAGGAACCAAGACCTGAGCGCTACTTACTTGGCTCCTCCACCCGTTCCGCATCCATTTCCCAGACCGTCTCACAGGGACCCTCCGGAGGCTCTGAACCTTCCTGCCTCCTTCTGTTGCCGCCGCTATTGGTGTTGAGAACCTCCCATCCGAGCGGTTCCGGGTCCAACTGCAGGCACCGAGAGTTTTCCCGGCTCCCCCGAACCACCGGGAGTGGAGAGGCCTTGGGGCGGCTCTGCTCGCGCTCCAGCCGCAGGATGTCTTTGACAGAGAACGGGGTGGAGGTGCCGGGGCTCAGAAGCATCCTGAAGGAGGAGGGGGCGGGGCCGGTGGGTCCCTAGTCCCCGAGGAGCGCAGCGCCCTAAACTACCTGGTTTTGTTCGCTGCAGGTCCCGTGGACCCCAGCCCTGGGACAGACGCCCAGCGTCCCGACCGCTCTGGGCCATCCCTGCGGCCTGGGGGGGCCAGGGCTGCAGTACAAGACCGCCACCCCCATTGGTTCCCGCAGAAACCACGTGCTACTCCTGCACCTCCTCCTCCCCCCATCAAGCGCTTTCTCCTCGCTACCGTCTAATCCTGCCGATCCCCAGCACCTCCTGGGAAATTTGGTTCGTATTGACTTCTCGCAAAAGCAAGGAAAACTGGAGAGATGGTGCTGCGCGATGCTAGTGATTCCGTCAATACGGTACGAGTGGTGAAGGAATCCTCAGCTTCCGGGGTCAACTCAGCTTTCGCGGGGACCTCGGGGAGGATGAGCGGGGGCTGGGGGTGGAGTCTTGCTGTGCAAACTGATACAGCCCATCCTGCCGGGCCTTAGCTCAACTTTCCACTCCCGTGGCTGAGGGCAACTGGGCACCCGCGGCCTCTAAGGTGCGCAAGGCCGGAGCTCGGCGACCGGGAGCCCATCCCAGCGCGCAGAGTCTGGACCGCGGAGGAAGAGCGAGTCTCTAAGCCGCCAGGGCCTAGATTGGGGAGGAAATGTCTGCGAGTGTTTTAGCGGTGAAAGCAGAGTCCGGGTCTGGGGGCACCTGACCAGCCACTTCCCCAGAGAAGCGACCGGAGCGGAGGAGCATGGGGGGCTAGATTTGGGAAGACCCCTGTCTGTTTGAAGGTTCTCCTTTGATTCCGTGAGTTTGGGGAGATGAGAAGGTAATAGCCGGGGCCCGGGGCGAAGGTCCCAGAGAGGAGCTTAACTCGCGCTTCATCTTCTCTTGTTGCTTTTCTTCCACCGCTTCTTTCTAAAGTTGATTTGCCTTGAGAGTGCGTGCGTGCGTGCGTGCGTGTACCAACGCGGCGCCCCCGAAGGGATGTGACATTTTAACGAGCATTAGATCTCCAGAAAAGCTTCTGGGGACAAAACCTGCACCGTGTAAAGGAAGGCATTGTGGTCCAATGGATATGAGAATGGAGTTGCAAGTCAACTGATCTAGTCCTTGCTCTGGAACATATCCATTGTAGGCTTTTGGACAAACGATTTAACTTCTCTGAACTTTGGTTTCATTACAAAATGGAGATAAGAATACGATCGTCATAGGATTATTGCAAGAATTAACTGGTATAATGTGTAAGATTATCAATGAATGTCCACTGCTATTATTATTCATGCTACAGGAATCCAGGCAACAGGACTCAGCATCAGCCGTCCCAGACACAGAATCCAAGGAGTTTTTAAATGTTAAATCAAAATGGGATCTCATTAGAGCTCTTTTTTGGAGTTTCAAAGCAGACGTTTCTTAAATAAACCTTATGCAAATTCAGTATTCCAAGAACTGTCTAGGCATTAATCCCTGAAATCCAGAGAAAATGAACTACTTCTCCTAGGCTAAATAATTCGTTCAGAATTCTGGCAAATTTAATCATTCAGTCACTCGTAATGATTTCTTATACATCATATAATTTAAGTTTTACATCTGTTATAGATTGACTTGTGTCACCCAAAAATATGTGTTGTAAATCCTAACCTCTGTGACTGTGGTTATAATCTCATTTGGGAATGAGTTGTCTGTTATGTTAATGAGACAGGATTAGTGTAGGGTGTGTTTTAAATCAATCTCTTTAGAGAAATAGAAGAGATTAAACAAGCAAGCCAGAGAAGCAGAGATGGGGGGATACACAGGCCAAGTCACAAGATGATGGCTCAGGAGCAGAAGCTTAGAAGACAAAGGACCTTCCTCCAGAGCAGACAGAGAGAGAAAGCCTTCCCCTAGAGCAGGCACCCTGAATGTCTACTTCTAGCCTCCTAAACTGTGAGAAAATAAATTTCTGTTTGTTACAGCTATCCACCTGTGGTATTTTTGTTATAGCAGCACTAGATAACTAAGACCACACCTCAGTTATACCCCGACCGTCTCCAACTTCCTTTTTTTTTTTAGTAAGAAGTCACAGTCAGAGAAGTTACAAGACTTCTGAGGTGGTCCAGCTGGTTGATGGCATGAGGGGGTCTAGGAGACAGCAACAATTTTTTTTTTCCTGAAAGAGACATTGCTTTGTCCTTAGAAATGTCAGAATCTTGTGATGATCCACACATTTATTTAAATTTTATTATTTTATTCTGCTTATAAAATTGTGCATACTTCAAAAAACATGGAAAATAGGGGAAAGTGGAAAAGAAGACAACGTCCATCCAGGGACGTTTTAGCACACTTCCTTTTATTTTACACATATGAGATCATAAGGTATATATGCGAGTTTGTATATTTTAAATTCACATCATAAGCATGCCCACCACTTCAGTTTTTACTAGTATAAATGACAATGTAACATTCCATGTCATGCATGGATCATAATAGACTGTGTTTATACTTTCAGATCCTATTTTTTTTTTTTTATCACTGCAAATAAGGGTTCAGAAGACATCTTTGTGTCTTCATCCTTGTCAGTACTTAGGATTATTTCCTCAGGATAAATGTGTAGAAGACACATTAATGAATCAAACATTTTAATGCTCGTAAAACATATTACCCCTATGACTTCCCAGGAGAATAGCACCATGCGTCTACCTCCCAGAGGTGCAGGCAAATGTCGATCTGGCCGACGGATATTTACAACCACGGGACACTACAGAGAGACCAAGAATTTACGGTACTTCCAGTCATCGGACTGTGGGTCGGTGCTCCGCCCCCTCCTCTCCAGTAGATCCGAGACACTCTAGGTTCAATCCCCCATTCAAAGGGCTGGATGAGGAGAAGCGCCCCAGATAAGAACATGAAGCCGCAGACCTGCCAATGCATTATCAAATAGTGGAATTCAAGCAGCATACTGTTGCAGTGTAGGAAGTCATAGAAGGAATGTCTCCAGAGAAGGGACTTGAAGTCAAAAGCCCTGAGTTCAAATCCTTCCCTCAGGTCCCAGGTCTTGCCCTCCCTTCCTGGTTTGCTGCGAGGGTCAGACAAGATCCTGGACATAAGAAGTCTTTCTAACAGCTAGTGTGGTGCAAACGCGAGTCCTCTCTCTGAAAACTGCTACCTTAGCTCAGGCGCGGGCGCCCCGCACCCCCTGCAGGGAGAGAGGTTGTCCTTCGGCCGCGTAGAGTGGCGGGGAGAGAACTTGGAAGCCGGCTGTTCGGGTCCCAGCTCCGGGGCTGTCTCCGCTCGGCCAGCTCTCGCCCTCCTGGTGTCACCTCTGGTGTCTCAGCGGACCGGGCGCTGGGCTGTGGAGGCAAACTGGGGGCCTCGAATCTTCCTTCTCCCGCTACTTCGCTAGGGTGCACGTAGAGCGTCCCGTCTGAGAGTGGAGGCAATAGCACTAACCTCTCCTATTCCGGGTCAGTTGGAGAGTTATTAGCGGCTGCCTGGCGGCTTAAGGGCAGCTCGAGGGACCCGGCCACTAACTGAAGCGCCGGCGCCGGGGAGGGGCGAGGGGTAAGCGAGGCGGGGCTGAGAGAACTGTAAAGCTGGAGAGCCCGGAGGCTTTTAAGGCTGAGATCTGCGCAGCCCAGACAGTGTGGTGCGGGATGGTGGTGGTGGCGGTGGGGGTGGTGGTGGGGATGTGTGTGTATCCTTTGCTCATGAGTGAGAACGTCGTCATCTCTGTTCTTAAAATGAAACGGCCTACTTTTAGGCATAACGTGCGCTCCCTGAGTGGCTGTGCCAGGGGTGTGAGTGAGTGATCTGCCCACCATGCTCCACCCAGATCACTCAATATGACACTCAAACCAATGCTAGGCCCACAAACGTGTTTTCAGCACCTACCACGGGCCAGGCACTGCCCAGGCTCTGAGGATATTGAGGAAATGAGCGGTCCTAGCCCTTTCATCTGAACTTGCATTCTCGCACAGGAGACAGACTTCTAAATTTTCCCCATGCAACGTGATACCTTACACAATCATAGGGAATTAGTACAAGATATTTATTGAACCACTTTTATCCTTGATTACCCAAAGTCCTTTCCTCCTTCTGTTATCTCCAAACTTTCGTAAAGGGAAGAGATTGCCTCTTCAAAATCGGATGTACAACAGGCTATTCCTGTAGAGTCTGGCGCTGGTGGACCTCGCGTGCTTGCAGGAGATCGATGGTCTTTCAAGTGAGCCTGAGCGCTGGATTCCCGTTAGACTATATTAGGGCGCTGAGACTGTTGTGACAGCTGTATTCCCAGGGCCTAGGCCAGCACTCAGCATATAGTAGGTGTCCAATTAATATTTGTTGAATAAAGGAATCTACCTTGTTTGGCTGGAGATCCAGATGCCCTCTCATGGCACACCCTGGGGACTGGCTGGGGCTATCTGGCCCGTCAGGGCTGGGGGACTCTTAACCACCTGATGGTCGCACTTTCTACTCTGCCACTGTCCCTTTTCCAGGGACCCACTTTTTAACATTATAATTACTTGTGGGTTATGTTTCGAGTATGTGAAATATTAACGTGGTTCTAAAAGTCAAAACTGTACGAAAAGGTATACTCAAAGAAGTGGCACCACCCCTTTTATTCCTTCTACTCCTATTTCCATTCCCCCATTCTTTCCTCGTTTCTACTCATTCCCAATATCATTAGTTAATCCTTTCTGTGGGTTTTTTTTTTTTTAATTGTTAAAAAAGGAGCAGATACATGTATGTTTTCCTATTTCCCTTTCTTATGTGACAGGGTAGCATAATACGGATACCCTTGTGCTGTTATTAAGCAGTGGCATTTATTAAGATTTTTGTGTTGATATGATGCTTCTGATGAGTTTTGCTATCTGTGTGCCAGAAGGCCTCTATAGTTACTGCTTTATAGCACAGAAGATGTCACAGCTGCTACAATGCCTATGCACCTTCTACCTATTACTCCTTTGCTCAAGATAAGCTATGTCATGTCTACATAATACTCAGG